TTCGGGGTGTAGTCCGCCTGGTACTTTCTGCTTCCTGGTTTATCCTGGTATGGGGGTCTCCACTGTATGCTCTTTGTGCTCTGAGGGCTACCATGCTTTCTCTGCCATGAGGAACTGAATCATCTCTGACCCAGTAAACCCAGACACAGCTTCCCTCTTTCGTTTCTGCCACAATGACATGGGAAGTTCCTGAAGGAGAGAATCGTATCAGGAGTGGGACGGTCACTGTAAGAACCCCAAATACGTGGTACCTACGCTATCGGAAGTGATTGTTGGGAGGACTGTGTAAGAGCAGATGTGCAGGCTACAGAAGCTCACGGATGCTGTAAGTAGAGCTTATTGTGCAAATTCGGTGGTGTTCTCAAGACCAGCTCGCCGACAGACGTGCACACTGTGTTTACAGCCTTCAGATGGGAGCACAGACCCCACTGGAAACGGAACCAGAAGCTATTCATGTGACGTTCTGACAAAGAATCTGCCTGTGCTCTGCCTGTAATCTAAACACTGGAGCAAGGCTGGATTCAAAAGGAAAAGTCTAATTTATCTGGTCGATCAAACTGCACGGCCGCATAACACCCAGGCTGCGGCAGAGTTGGGATTTCTGTTAGCGAGATTTACCATGAGATCCAGAGCAAAGAAAGTGGAAAACATAGTTTGGTGAGTGAGGCGTTGGAAGCGTGTTTACAGCGTGGGCTGTTAAGAGAGTTCAGCACCATACAGAAGCCCCGTGTTGGGTAGCTCACAATTGCCTGGAGCTGCAGCTGCAGTGGGGTCCAGTGCCGCTGGCTTCTTCTCGTGTATACATCAACCTACATGCACACGAACGTCATCAAAGATAAAAAAAAATCAACATTAAAGAAAGAAGCCCCGGGCATCACCTGAACAATAAGAAAGAGCCTTGAGGTCTCACCCATCAACGGGCTTGGGAGAAAAATTGCAAACAGCACGTGAAAGACTCTCCACAGAGAATTCCTGGAAACAGAGGGCACCAGGATGTCCTGTTGGTAGAGAGCTTTCTAGGGTTGCTTGCTCAGGTTTAAATGTGCAGGCTTTTAAAGGCCACCGCAGTCGTGGTCCAAAGGTACCAGGCTACGTCTTGGGCTGTGGTGATGGCTCTAGTTTCCGTCTAGCTCTTACTGTTTCTTAAATGTCCTGAGATGTGAGTCTTGGCCACTACCGTGGCGAGCACAGCTGCGCCTTCTCGGCCACGGCAGACTGAAGTGCCTCTGAGACCGCAAGCTCAAATGAATAGTTCCTCATTTGAGCTGTGTCTGTCGGGTCACCTGTCACCGCAGCACAGAAAATAACTGATGTGATGTGAGAATGAAGCAAAGGGGAGAGAGTTAGGGAGAGGGCTGGGCCCCAGGGGACTCATGAGGTCAGCAGTGTTGGGCCTGGTGCTCCTGCCTCTGCCCCCAAAACTCATTGTGACTGGCTGCTGTATGCATGGCTGTGGTCTCTGGCAGTGTCCATGAGGGCTGGGCTGGTGATGTGACTGGCCTGAAGGCCTCTCCAGTGCCTCCTTGGGCATCTTTCGTATCCTTCTTCCTCTGAAAAGAAAGATCTCCTAGAGCATGGCAGCCTCCTCTTCACTCACAGCCCTGCCTTGATCAGAACCTTTTTTTTAAAATTTTATTTATTATGTATACAATATTCTGTCTGCATGCATGCCTGAAGAGGGCACCAGACCTTATCACAGATGGTTGTGAGCCACCATGTGGTTGCTGGGAATTGAACTCAGTACCTCTGGAAGAGCAGGCAATGCTCTTAACTGCTGAGCCATCTCTCCAGCCCCCTCAGAACCGTTTTTGAAAAACCTAGGAGATTGATCCCAAAGAGCCTAGCTCTGTGGTTCCCTCTCCTTCTTGTCCACTCTGGTGTGTCAACCAAGTTCCTGCCAGTAGCACACAGGATAATCGGTTGGCTGGTCAACAGGGTCCCTGTCGCAGGGGAGACGCAGATATCTGCCTCAGGGGACTGCTTCTGCACGATGAGGCTCTTTCAAGTCCTTACTGATGACACGGTGACCCCTTCCCCATTTATTTTTTGTTCTTATTTTTAAGGATAATTTTACTTTTTGTGTATGAACATTTTGTCTGAATGTATATCTGTTTACCACGTGTGTGTGCCTGGTGCCTGTGGAGGTCGGAAGAAGGTGTCGTACCCCCGGAACTGGAGTTAAAGGTGTTTGTGAGCCACCATGTAGGTGCTGGTAATGAACCTTGATCCTCCTCAAGAGCAGCCAATGCTTTTAACCACTGAGCCTCTCTCCAGCCCTACCCATTTATTTCTTTGTTAGTGTAGGGCTACTTTATAATCCTTCTAAATCTCATTTCCTTTTTTTTTTTTTTGATTAGATTTCTTCTTGATTTTCCCATAATTAAATAATTTTTGTTAACAACAATATTAGCCAGTGTACTAATTGGGCAATTTTCATACATTATATGTAATCCACACCACAACCTGACTAATTTTATGGACGAGGGGAGAGGAGCTCAGAGAGACCAGTAATAGGCTATCATCAACACACTGCAGAGATTTTTTTTTCCTGGCATTACCTCAGGAGGATGGGAATTTTTCTTACCATTGGAAATGAAAAGGAAAATATTTCCATTTACCTTTTGCTTTTTAAACTTTCAAAGCAGGCTCTCTCCACCCCCTTTTTGAGATGATAGGTGGGAAAACCAAATATTTGGATTCTCACAAGCCTACGTTCTGAAAGGCAATGTGACAGCTACTCTCGGTTGTCGACTTGACTACAGTCGGAAGTAACTAAAGGCCAAGAAGCTGGGTGCACTTGGGAGGGACTTTTCTTGGTTGTATTATTGTAGGTGGGAGACCCACTTTAAATCTTTTATACACCCCTTACTGATGTTTAGCTATGTTAGTTCATCTTATCAGTTCTGTTTCTTCGAGAACACTGCCTCGTTTGTATGCCTGGTGTGTCAGAAAGCAGAGCCCTTTGTGTGAAAAGGCTCACAGTTTATCCGTCACGAAAGGGGGTTAAGAAAGGGTTTGTGTGCCGGGTCATGGTGGTGTTTAATCCCAGCACCCTTGGGAGGCAGAAGCAGGTGGACTGTGTGAGTTTGAGACCAGCATGGTCTACAGAGCGAGTTCCAGGGCAGCCAAGGCTACACACACACACACACACACACACACACACACACACACACACACACAAACCCTGTGTCAAAAACAAGACAAAACAAAATCAAGAAAAAAAACCCCAAAACAACAATAAAAGTTTGTGGACCCTCCCCAGGGAAGAACAACTGGGGTGTAGATTATTAGGGGGAGAGGGGACTGCTCTGGAAGGTGGGAGGGGGAGACTGAGGACCTGACCATTGCTTGTACCAGGAGTATCATCTTATTTATTTATTTAGAGAACGAGACTCACACAACCCAGGCTGGCCTTGAATTTGCTGTATAGCAAAGAACAGTCTTGAACCTCTGTGTCTTCTTCTTCGACCTCTTGTGTGCCGGGACTAGAGGTGAGCATCTTCATCTGCAGGGATGAGTTTGGAACCCAGGACTTCATGCTGCACGCTAGCCAAGCAGTCTGTCGAGCGTTTCACTCCCAGAGATACAATTTAACATGCTTCTTTCATTTTGCCTTATGTAGCTAGCCACACAAGTCCATGCGACGTCCGTGGCTTTTATCCCTGGAGCCTAGACTAGCCCTCCACTGCTGGCTAACAGGAAAGGATATGTACAGTTAAGTAGTGTTATCAGCATTATCAAATGAGAACCCAGATGGGCTGATGGGCTGATGGCACAGAGGTAGGCAAGGCCTTAGTGAGAGATGAAGATCTGAGTAGCCAAGGATGGGCAGGACAGAGAGAAAGAGATGGGATCAATAGGAAGTGATTGGTTGATATGGGCTGAAGTCCAAATACCTCCCCCTCTGGCCTAAGTCTTGCCACTGCCCTTGCCAGTGTCTGCCTCAGTTCTAGAAGGTTCTTGCTTTGTCTAGGCTCCTCCCTGGCCCCATGTTTTTGGTTGGAAGTATTATGCTGGCTTCTGCTTGGAGGAACATTCTCTCGCTCTAGTAATCGGCTTTCTTTGTCTCCTTGGCTTGAGAAGGAGCCACTTGAGGGGAGGCTCTGGGTCTCCTGAATGCCAGTTCCTGGCACAGAGTCTGGTGCTTACATGGGTTCACCAAACCAAGCAAGCAATCAATTAAAAAAAAAAAGGAATGGAGTTCAGGGGAAGGAGGTGAAGAGAGAAAGATGGGGATGTTGGTACCCAAGTCAGACCTTGTTATAATCACTCCTCTCTCTGATGTTATAAGAAAAATCCTCACTGGAGAGCAGCTGTAGGCTGATCAGAGCAGCAGCGACCGAAGCAACCAGGTCTCAGAACATTCTAAGTTCCATGCTTGGCATTGTCCATCGGCCGTGTTACTAGGGGCAGTGCCATCTGCAGTCGACTGGGGTGTAGGGTGGAGCTTCTACTTGAGAGAGGAAAAGACTATACTGCTTAGTCTAGGGTTGCCTATCCTGAGCCCTGAGCTCTAGCCCACTTGTGTGCTGTGCCTTCCTGCCTGCTCCTGCTGATTTGCATTCTAAATTCTCTTCATCTTGACTTTGACCTTTTTTTTTTCTGTTCTTCCTTTGCTGTTTCCATTTCCTTAACCGCCAGGTCCTCAGGAGAGTGAGGCGTGAGCCCAGGGCAGAAGTCTGGGCTTGCATTCCTATCAGCACCTTTGTGGCTTGCAGGGAAAGAAAATCTTGCATTGTGCTTCCTTTTGTGTTGAGTTGTATTTTTAGGTCCCCATTCTCACCCTCCCCTGTTTTTGTTTTAATTTTTGAAGAAATGACTTGTTTTCGGCAATGTTCAAATATCTGATGTCAAGCTTGGGAGAGTTAAGAGCAGGAGTTTGGGAGTCAGGCAGATTTCACTCCGTGTGGCATGACCTTGGGCAAAGTCCTGTTAGGACTGCTGTGTGGCATGACATTTGGCAAGGTCCTTTTAGGACTCCCTACAAAGCTCCCTCTCTGACCCAGTGATAGGTATGAGCTGGAAATCCCGCCTCTCTGCTTCAATGGTACTTCACGTTCCTCAAGCCTCCTCGAGGACAGCTCCAGTCACTAAGATGCACCCACTATACAGGTGGGGCAGCTAGGGAGCCTGTCTGGTTCAGCCTACCACCTCTGAAGTCACTACGGTTTAGGATGGAAGCAACTCCCTTCTGCAGTAAGTCACTTGAGTAGCCTTTTTTGATACTTTGTTATTGGCGGTGATCTGGAAAACACTAACGGATGCTGGCCTTCCTACAGTCTTACTATCTATTCCTCGGAGCAAGCAGTGAGCCAGGAAGCTGGGCATGGGGTCTGCAGCTAATACACAAGAAGCCCTCTTTCAAAGGAGAGGAGAGCGCCGAGGTACAGTCGAGGAGGACATCAGCTCATTTGCTGTGGGCTGGAGTGAGCACCGCAGCTGGTTAGGCCGACCATCTCATGCTGATCACAAGCTCCGATGGGCAATTATAAATGTCTTTGATTAATAAAAAATGGGGTGATGAATGAATAGTTAATCAACGCAGTCTGGCAGGAAGCCTCTCTCAGAACCTGGGCAGCAGCCAGGGGGTGGGGGTTGTTCCGCAAGGGTTGGGGGAGCAAGGAAAGGGGTTCTTGGGGTAAAAGGCAACCCATGATGGTTTCTGTCCTGATCCCAGCTTTCTGATTTTATGGTGGGGTTTTCTTGGCAGCTCTGACTATGAGCTTGGAGCGGGGAGTGAGCTGATGAGTGAGTGGGAAACTGTTCTGTGCCCACCCAAGTGGGCAGTGTAAAGAGCCGGAAACACGATGTGCATGCATCCAAGAGCTCTGAGCTGTGCCCCTTGGTCCCCACGGCTGGACCAGTGCCTGGACCTGTGTTAAAACTGTTTTGGTTAGAGGCGGCCGAGGCAGGGTAGCCTAAAGGCTACCCCATCAAAACAGAGCAAATGAGACCCTGTCCGGATCCTAGACAGCTGTTGAGGAAGGAAAAAGAAGAGGTTTGAAAAAAAAAAAAAAACACACACAAAAACACGAAGTGGTGGAGATAGGGGGCGGGTCCCTAGCTCTTCCGGGAGGGGGCGAGCGGGAGGCGACAAACAGAGGACTGGGAGGAGCGACGACGGCAGGAAAACCTAGTTTTGGCGCGCTAGCAAACCGAGGAGCGTGAGTGCGACCACGAGTAGGACCGGGTAGGAAAGCAGGCCGGGTCAGGGCGGCATGGGCTGGGCAGGGCAGCGGTCTGGTGGCGGTGGGGCTTTGGGGACAGCGATCTACGGGAGAGCGGCTGCGGGATGGGGCCCCGACCTCTGGGCCTGGTGGAAGTTGATGGATGTTGGCAGAGGCAGCAGGGAATGGGCTTGTGATCCTAGACAAGGGTCTTGTTGGGATATTTTTGCGTAGTGACCAACTAACTAGCCTGGCGACCTTGAGACAAGTACACAAAACCTTCAGAAGTTTTTATTTCACTTTGGCGCATTGAAGAGATCCAGCTGCTACACCGAGCTTTTGTATGATATACCGTGCCTGCTCTTGTAGCGGACTGTGTTCAGACGTTCAGGTTACTGGTTTCTACTTTAGCTATTGATATCCTCTCTCCCCTATACTTTGGGCAGAATAGTCTTTTCCTCTATGGCATGCTTTGCCATCGAGACCTACCTTTCTTTGCCTCATCTTCTTACTCATGCGTGGTTTCACAGATGCCTTGAATTAGAGGGGACGTGAACAGTATTGGTTTTGTTGTCATTTGATTTTTGTTTTTCCATGTTTGGGAATGAACTCCAGATACAAGCCACATTCCCTTGTCATGTATGAAAGTTTTCACTTCCCAAAGCATCATGCCCTTCTCCTGAGGACCACTTCCCACCGCTTTTCCACAAGCTTCCAGTACCAGGCCGTTGCTGCCTTCTTTTCCAGGATCCAGACGTTTAAACCATTCCATGGTTCTCCTGGCTCAACCCAGAGACAGCTGGAGCAAGAGGCCTCTTTGGATTTGAGGGCTTGCCAGAGGAATTTTCCACACATCGCTACCAGCAGCCTGTCTCAGAAGTTAAGGGGAGCCTTTGTGGATCCACTTCACCTCAGACCATGGCAAACCGGGACCTGCCCCTGTACTTGGCCACTCTCTTGACTGGGCTGCTGGAATGCATCGGTTTCGCTGGTGTCCTCTTTGGCTGGACTTCACTGGTGTTTGTGTTCAAACAAGAAGGGTATTTTGCAGAGCCCTGTGAACAGGACTGCACGCTCAGGAGCAATGCAACGGGGCCCCCTGGTAAGGACAGCGATGGTTTCTTAAAGGAAGTTGAGGAAACTGGTTCCTGGGAGGTGGAAGAGCATGGGGAAGACCCCATTCCCAATTCATCTTGCCAGCCTTTCTATGAGGGAGGGGCTGTCAGAATCCTCTGTGCAGAGGGTGTCAAGGAAGGAAGTATCAGATTTTGAAGGGGCCCTTAGAGACCGCTACATTGTAACACAACCTGATAGCTAGTTTTCTGATCAGCGAAGCAGTTGAAGATGCAGGGGAGGGTTGTGTGGGAACTAACCTGGTGGGAAAGTTAGGCGATTCCGATTTTGGCTCACGTTCCTTTCCCAGGCTCCAAAGCTCAGGATGAGAAGTTCTCACTCATCTTCACCCTGGCATCCTTCATGAACAACTTCATGACCTTCCCCACTGGTTACATCTTTGACCGCTTCAAGACAACTGTGGCCCGCCTGATAGCCATGTAAGTCTAAAACTCCAGCCTGGGCAGACGTGAAGGAGAAGGGCCTCCCTCTTCCTACACCCTTGGTTCCCTTTTCTTTGCGCCTTCCCCTATAGACAGTAATGTATTATCCTGTTACATGCTCCACTTCCTGAGAGGCCAGGGTTACAAAATTAACAATATGTTCAGCGAGGCTATCCGCTTTCCTTGTCTTATCTGATTTCCTTATCTGATTTCCTGGAATCTTTCCCAGTCTCCTTACCAGCAGGGCCTCACGTCTGGGTAGCTCAGGCTGTGTATTTATTCTCCCCTGTGCATCATTTTCTGGGTAACCCCAACGGTGGAACTTCAGGTTGCCTCTGACTAAGATGACTCTTGCCATGGGGGTTTCCTTTGCAGATGAGCCAAAAACCTCAAGCTGCTTTTGCAGGGTTCTGCTGCCTCCTGATTACTCTAATGCTCCTGGCCAAGTTCACTGATAAGCAGGGGCTGCTGATCCCTGGTGTAGCCTAAAGCAGGGGTACAGATGTGAAGAGCTGTCAGGCTGGGAAAACAGAGCAAAGCAAATTCCTTATACTTTAAGCTTTCTGGAGAATAGTGAGCTAAGTCAGACAAGCTTGAATTTTCGTTTCCTTTTGCCTCTTCCCCACATGCGACCTCTGAACTTCTTTTTTATGGTACGGCTTTCTTTATCTATGTTTACAAAGTCCTCCACCTCTCAGAGGGCCCTGGAACCTTAGGATTTTTTTTTCCAAGAATCACTTGAACTTGGCTGTTTTTTTATGCTGCTGGAAGTGAAACCCAGGGCTCCATGCCAGCCAGGGAAGTGTCTGCTTCTGTCCTGGTTACTATTCTATTGCTGTGGTCAAATAATACAAAAAAAAAAAAAAAAAAAACAAACAATAACAACAACAACAAATGACCAAGGTGATTTATAAAAGAAAGCATTTCATTGGGCTTCTGGTTCCAGAGTCTATGATGGTGAGGGAGGGCAATACCTTAGGTAACTGCACAGCAGATAAATGCTCACGTCTGGATCCACAAGCCGGAAGAGGGAGTACAATTGGGGTGGCTACAGGCTTTTGAAGTGCCACAGCCAGCCACCCATGACACCTCCTCTAACAAGGCTGTGCCTTGTGTCCTTTCCACCAACTCGGAACCAAGGGACATAAATGTGTGAACCTATGGGGGGCATTTTCATTGAAGCCACCACAACTTCTAAGCCACACCCCTAGCTGCGAACTCAGCTGCTTTGCGTTTGGAATCTAGATCAGTCTGATCCAGGTACATCCAGCCTTTCTCTCATTGCAACACCAAGTTGTCACCTGAACTCTCAACAACCAGAAAGTCCAGTCACACACACACACACACACACACACACACATACACACACAATCTTGATAGCATTTTTGCTCTGTCTATGATTCTGTGAGTTCAAATGCATAGTAGCAGTTCTTGGTTGCATGTGGTCACTAACCATTTCCTTCTCCAGAAAAGGGCCACCGAGGCCCAGAGAAAGGCAGCGCCTCATCCAAAGTCCTCTGTGGAGGAAGAATTAGAATCCAAGGCTTCAATTTGCAGATTAGGCATCAACCCCTTTCCCAAGTGGTTGGCCTCAGGACTAGGGGGCCTGCTTGGGCTTTGCCCACCGTGCTCCTGTCTTGTACACATCACATTGTTGTCAGCTGAGCTTATTAGCCAGCACTTCCCGGTTTAGCCCTAGAGCCTGGAAGGAGCAAAATCCATGTCTTAATGACTTTCCTGTGACAAGGAAAAAAATGCCATGATAAAATCAATTTAAGGGAGGAAGCCCTTTCTCATGGTTCCAGGCTCCAGTCCATCATGGTAGGGAGGTCCCAACGGCAGGAGTCCAAGGGAGCTGTTGTCATGCATCTGTGGCCTTGCAGAGGACCAATGCTGAGCTCACTTTCCTTGTTTAAGTAGTCCGGGATCCTCTGCCATGGGAATGGTTCACCCAAGTCAAGATGGGTCTTCCCATATCAGTTAATGTAATCGCCTCAATGCCAGGCGGTTCTAGGTTCTTATCAAGTCTACAATTGAGATTTACTCTCAAACCATCTGTGGAGACAAGTCCACATCTCAGTCTACCAGGACTGACTTCTCTGGTGCTGAGAGGCCTCTCAGAAGTGTCTGTGTCTCTAGAGTTCCTTGGCTGAGAATGCAGTCGAGTTCTATCCAATGTTGGAGGTCGAGCAGGTTCCTGGTTGATCCTCAAGTTTCTTCTTTTAATTGGATGCTTCTGTATTTCAGATTTTTCTACACTTGTGCCACACTCATCATTGCCTTCACCTCTGCGGGTGAGTGCCCACAGGTGGTGGGAGAGACAGGCTGGGGGAGGGGGTGAGCAGAACAGGTGCAGAAGGCAGAGGGCCTGTGGTATTTTCAGAGATGCACGATTTGAAAGAGTCCCTAAGAGTTGCCGGGTTGTTGTTTGTCTGTGAGACGTTTATTCTACTGAAGAAAGAATGGCATTAAAATTCTTTCTTATTGTTTTGTAACCTGCCAGGTAATTCTGAACATATCTTCAATTAGCAGAATCAAAATTGACAACCCTGTTGCACACACACAAAAAAAAAAAAAGAAAAAGAAAAAGAAAAATGCTTCCAATGATTACTATAAAAGTCTGGAAATGCCAGTTGTCTGTCTTCTTCCCTTTGTTATGGGGAACAGAGACTGAGATGAGAGAGACAGAGAGAGAAAGAGAGAGAGAGAGAGAGAGAGAGAGAGAGAGAGAGAGAGAGAGAGAGAGAGAGAGAGAGAGAGAGAGAGAGAGAGAGAGAGAGAGAGAGAGAGAGAGACTGGGCCTAGCTTGGGCTTCTGAAACCCCAAAGCCCACCTCCCCAGTGACCACTTCCTTCAGCAAGGCCACACCTCCTAGTTCCTGTCAAGTAACCCCACTCCCTAATGACCTAGCATTCAAATATATGAGCCTATAAGGGCCATCCTTATTCAAACCGTTACACCAGCCCAGCCCAGCCCAGCAAAAGTCGCTCTTCCTCCAAAAATCAGGTCTTTTATTCTGGAGTCAGTATTGATGCTAGGGTGATTTTATCGTGAAACTGGTCCCCAGTCTTTAGCTCATTAGGAGATGTACATTTGTTAACGGCAGAAAGTGAATGGCAAACAGCGTGAGTCATCTCTAGAATCATCTCTTTCCAGAGCTTCCCTAGACTGAGGACAATGGTTTCCTAAAGGATGCTAAGGGTGTCCTAGTGGGCAAAGGTGCTTGCCACCAAGTCTGATTCCCAGGACCCACATGATAGAAGGAGAGAACCAACTTCCAAAAATTGTCCCCTGGCCTTCGCAGATATACCAGTGTGTGTGCACATCACACACACACACACACACACACACACACAAATGTAGACCTGCTGCCAAAAAAATCCAAAAACAAACAAACAAAACCCCCAAACTGAGATTTCTAGCGCAGACCTAACATACCAACAAGCTTTGGATTACCTGGTGCAACAGGGTTTCTCTGTGTAGCCCTGGCTGTCCTGGAACCCTCTCTATAGATCAGGTTGGCCTTAAATGCAGAGAGATTCACACACCTCTGCCTCCTGAGTGCTGGGATTAAAGGTGCAAGACGCCCCTCCCTGGCCAAATTTGTTCCTCTTCAAAGTCACGTTTTCAGTGATTTTGAGTCGTTTAGAGACGACTGCCGGACACTAACACGTTGCTCACATGTCAGTTTTGCTGACTTGTTGGGTTTTGTTGTTGTGTTGTTTAGAACCAGGAGCACGCTTAATTCCATGCAGCATCTCTAAGGCCAATCTCGCCACAAAGGCAGCGCTCAACGTTTCACAGAGGGAAAGGCCACAGGCATCTCTCTCAGTTTCACAGACCCCAGTGAGGCAGGGCAGAGTCTCTTGTGTCTGTGCAGCAGGGAGGAGAGTGAGGCAGATTCAGAAGGTCGCCCAAGGTTATGGTCCTGTGGTGGTTTTGAGGCTAGACTTGATTCCTGCAGTGATGGAGCAGGCATCTGTGGTATAGCAGAGACCCAGGACCATCTTTGGTGAGGAGAAGAGGATCTCAGGACGTCTCAGCAGGCACGACTGGGTAGTCTGTTGACCATTCCCTAAAGCCCTCAAAGGGTACCAGCAGGCTGCTGAAATGAACTCCAAGTATTTCTGAGAATCTAAACCTGGTAGGAGCTGGAGCCTCCTGGAGCAGAGAGGAGTGTGTACAACTTCAGGGGCTCTGAATGAGATCTGCAATGAGATCACCACTCCTGTGACTTTTATGGTTCCAGACACTGCCTTGCTGCTCTTCCTGGCCATGCCCATGCTTGCGGTGGGAGGGATCCTGTTTCTCATCACCAACCTACAGGTGTGAGCTTGTGTTCCCCTTATCCCAGGAACCTGGGAGAGATGGGGACATCATTTGTTTCCAAAGGGGTTGACCCAAACCAGGGTGGGAGGAACCGGGGGGGGAAAGTGGTTGGGATATTAATCATGTCTGGCCCAAACTGGGTGCCAAGGAGGGAAAATAACTGTTCCGTGATTAAATAAATCAGCTCGATTTGTCCTTCCCAGATCGGGAATCTCTTTGGAAAACACCGCTCAACCATCATCACCCTGTACAACGGAGCGTTTGACTCCTCCTCCGTAGTCTTCCTCATCATTAAGGTAAAAATACCCGTAGCTGGGCTGAGGGGACAGTTCAGGGACTAACTGACTCCTGTGTGGGGCACAAGCACCCACGTTAGAGTTCCAGAGCCCACGTGAAAAAGCAGAGTGTCCGGGTGTGTGCTTGTAATCCAGGCGTGGGTGTCGACAACAGGCGATTCTCTGGGCTAGCTTCGTTCCCGTGGCAAATCACAAGGCCAGTGAGAGACCCTGTCCCCTGAGGAATGGTGCCTGAGGCTGTCCTCTGGCTTCTGTCCACTGTCACCTACATCGTCACACCTGTGATACTATTACTCAACACTTACTGAGCCCCCGAGCCCTTATTTATTCCACATCCTGTCCTGCAACGGTGTCTACCAGCTTTCAAGGCATAATTTAACTCCCATTCCTCAGGTGATGCAGTTGAGTCTCAGGTTCCGCGCTGGTAACCATGGGATTTGAACTTGCAGCAAGGCCTGTCTTTTTCTGGGGGTGAGCTGTGATCACTGAGCTCCCCTCTTTATGTTAAGACTATACTCTCTTAGCTAGGAAGGAAAATGTGATCATGATATCCTCGAGTCAGGGAAGGACAGAAACTAAGGACTCTGTCGGAGGGGGCATTTCCTGAGTGAGCTACAGCTTTGGGAAGGGGTAGGAAGGGCCAGTGGGGACCTTGGAAAACACACAAAGGTCTTTCTAGTTCTTCCAAGGGCTAGCCATGAATGTCAGAGAACAAACAGTTGGCAAGGATGTTAGTAGCCCATTAACAATCATTCTGCTAATGGTTTTGTTTTTATTAAATTAAATTAATTAATTGTTGTTATTATTTAAGACAAGGCCTCTTCAGCTGGCCCAAGACTCACTGTGGAGTCCACTTTTTTCTCAAACTCGTGATCATTCTTCCTCAGCCTTCCAAGTGCTGAGATTATAGTCATGTGTCACGATACCTAGCTTCGAGTAATTTGGTTTTGAGACAGCATCTGACTGTGTAGGGCAGGCTGGACTGAATCTTGGAGCCCAGGCTAGCCTCAAGCTCTCTGTCTTTCTGCCTTAGGCACTCCGGTGCTGAGGTTACAGGCAGGAACCACAGACCTGGCTTTGCTAATGATTTTAGTGTTTGTCATTGCTAACAGCTTTATCTTGCTAGTGCCTTATGTCACCTATGGGATGGGTTCTGATTGGGCTAAGGTAACCAGGGCAAGCTCTGTCTCTGCCACCAGTGACGGGTGGAGCTGGGCTTGTCATAAAACCCCTACAAATGAGATGAAGCAGGTGTATAGCACCTAACTTGAGGGGACGTTTCCTCCTTGAGGAAGGATGAGAGCAGAGTAGAAAGAAAACCTTGAGGCTGGGACTAACCCAGTAGTTAGAATGCCTGCCTCGCATGCACAAAGCCTGGTTCAACTCCCAGCACTGTAAATCAGGCTGGGTATCATGCCTGCCGTCCCAGCACAAGGCAGAGGAAGGCTGGAGGACCAGAAGTTCAAGATCATTTTATGCAGTGAGCTCGGAGCCTACCTGGCCTATCCAAGACCTTTTCGCAACAACAAAAGCCTTCTTCCCCTCTTTCTCTGCTCTTCCTCTTTGAAGGCTGCAGTGGGAGAGGGTGTGGGAGGTGACCAGTGGGGACGCAGTGACCCAGTGGGGAGCAATAGGAGGGAAAGCGGTGGACCCCAAACTGCTCAGGCTGGCACTCTCTCTGGGCTTCCGTCAGACCACCTCTGGGCTCACGAACCTCACTTAGTCCCGTGAGCACCTTGGGTAGAGTCTGAGTTGCCCAGGGCTCGCTAGACCCTCTGTGGCTGGTGCAAGAGTCAGGTCCCAGGTTCCCTTGCCTTGATGTATTTCCTCTTCAGAGCGGGGAGGGAAGAGCTGGGGGCAGGAGTGGGAGTCTTAGTTCAGTAGGTCTCAGCTGCTTTCTCTGTGGCCTCTGAGGTTTGTCTCACTTAGCGGTTTCAAACCTGGAAGTTGAGGAATTTAGAGGTTCCCTTTGTTGTGTGAGTCACTCCGGGGAACCCAGGGAGAGTGGCCCTGTGGCTTCCCACAGATGTCTTTTATAAGCTGAATTCCTGTTTTTTAATAGTCTTTTTATTATTATTTTCTACTAAAACTTTCTTTTCATTTACACACCAACCACACTTCCCCCTCCCTGACCTCCTCCCACCCCCTACTACCTTCCACCCACCCCCTTCCCATCTCCCCATCCACTCCTCAGAAAGGGTAAGGCTTCCCCTGGGGAGTCAACAAAGTTTGACATATCAAGTTGAGGCAGAACCCCGCCCCCCTTCGAGGCTGAGCAAGGTATTTCTCCATAGGAAATAGGCTCCAAAAAGCCGGTTCATGCCCTAGGGATAAATCCTGGTCCCCTGCCAGTGGCCCCACAGACTGCCCAAGCTGCACAACTGTAGCCCACATTCAGAGGGCCTAGTTCTGTCCTATGCAGGCTGCAGGCTCCTAGATGTCAGTCCAGAGTCCCTGAGCTCCCACTAGCTCAGGTCAGCTGTCTCTGTGGATTTCCCCACCATGGCCTTGACCCTTGCTCATTTAATCCCTCCTCCCTCTCTTCGACTGGCCTCTGCAAGCTCAGCCCAGTGACAAGCTGGACTCTTGTGTGAAGAATTGGCTGGAAGGACGTTTTGCAATTGGAGAGGAATAGCATTAGACTAAAAGATCTCAGAGAGTCATGTGAGGAGGTGCCACAAGGCTGCTTCCTGGGCCCTAGGGGAAGGATGGTGAGGACCAGGAGGAGTCCTTGGGCAGCTCCGGGAGGGCAGGAAGGAGGCTGTGCTGGAGCCTTTTAGAAATGCGGCTTCCAGCTTCTGCCGCCTACACTTTTCACATGTGATAAAATACATATAGCATAAAATATGCTATCAGGATTTTAAAAAACTATTGGTGTATGTGTGTGTGTGTGTGTGTGTGTGTGTTGGGGGATGGGCAGAGCATGTTGGCGGAGGTCAGAAGACACCTTGAGGGAGTCCATCCATCATGTGGGTTGTGGGCGAGAAACTCAGATCACCAAGCTTGGTAGCAAGCACCTCCACCCAATGAACCATCCTGCTGACCCATAAACCAGTTTTTAAGTGCTCAGGTTAGTAGTATTAAGTACATTTATGCTGCTGAGGAACCAGCACCATCCTTCATCTCCAGAAATGTTCATGTTATAAAATTGGAACTTTGTACCTGTTAACACAAGTTCCTCATTACTCCCACCCCCGTTCCAACCTCTAACAATTGCATTCTACTTTCTATATGAGACTGACTATCCCAGGAATCTCTTGTAGGTAGAATGATACAGAATTTGTCTTTCTGTGACTGGCTATCTTCACTTGATGTCTTGTTCTCAAGGTTTATCCGTATTGTGCCTTCCCCCTTTAAAGGCCAAATAATACTCTGTCAAGTAGCCATACGACATTTTGTTTATTCATTCGCTTACCCACAGACACTTTGTCTCTCCACCTTTGACCATGGTCTATAACACTCTTGTGAGCCCTGGTGTTATTCTGATGAGTTGTTCCTTTCTCCATAGCTCCTTCATGAACGCGACATCAGCCTCAGGGCTTCCTTCCTCTTCCTGTCTGTCTGCAGTGTCTGGCATGTTGGACGCACTTTTCTCCTGATGCCTCGGGAACATATCCCCTACCCACTGCCTCCCAACTACAGTTATGGGTAAGCATGATTGGCCAAGGCTTCACCTCATCTGAGGCAGGAAAAAGGAACGATTGTGTGTGTTGTAGAAGAGTGTATTAGTTAGCTACTCCCGCATGACAAGGATACCATGCATTTATTTTTCCTTTCTTCCTTCCTTCTTAAAAAAATTACTATTTTTATTTTATGTGTACAAGAGCTTTGCCTGTGTAAATGAATGTGTCTCATGTGTGTGCTAGATGCCCACAGAGGTCATAAGTAAGTGTCACATCCCCTAGAACTAGAGTTACAGATAGGTGTGAGCTGCTGTGTGTGCTGGGAACCAAGCCTGGATCCTCTGAAAGAGCAGAAAGTCCTTCTAATGACTGAATCAGCTCTCCAGCTCCTAAGGATTTATTTCTTACATCAGAGCCAGATTTGGATGATCTTATCATTCATGCCTCTGATCATCTGATGTGTTAGCCGGGAGTTGGTTGGTCTGCCATGACATTGGGTTTGGAGTGACAGTATGGAGGTGTCACAGGCTAATGCTCCATCAGGCTTGCTTGGGTGTACACACAGTGGTTCCAGTGTTCAGAGAGGGGGCAGAAATGCCCACGGTTCTTTGGAGCTTCAACTTGGAATTGATGTGTCACTTGTATGCTACGCTGATATGTTCTTGTATGCTATGTTGATGTGTCACTTGTATGCTACATTGATGTGTCACTTGTATGCTATGTTGATTTGTCACTTGTATGCTATGTTGATGTGTCACTTGTATGCCACATTGATGTGTCATTTGTATGCTATGTTGATGTGTCATTTGTATGCTATGTTGATGTGTCACTTGTATGCTACATTGATGTGTCACTTGTATGCTATGTTAATGTGTCACTTGTATGCTATGTTGATGTGTCATTTGTATGCTATGTTGATGTGTCATTTGTATGCTATGTTGATGTGTCATTTGTATGCTACATTGATGTGTCACTTGTATGCTATGTTAATGTGTCACTTGTATGCTACATTGATGTGTCACTTGTATGCTATGTTAATGTGTCACTTGTATGCTATGTTGATGTGTCACTTGTATGCTACGTTGATGTGTCATTTGTATGCTATATTCTCTCAGCTAAAGCAGCTCATGTGTCTAGCCTAGGTGATAATGAGAAATGAGCATAGTCCATTGCCAGGGACAAGATAGAGGAGGTGGATGCCACAGTCACGTCAGCTGCCAGCTATAGGGAGCTGAGGCGCCATCCTCAATTTCTGCTCACTTGCTGTTGTGATGCCCCATGTGCTCTTTGAGTTCCATTCTCATGGTCACCTTTCCCATGCCTTGCCTTTGCTGTCCAACTCTGAAAAATGAGGCTCGAGGGGTAAGCTCGATGAGCCCAATGAGAAAGAGTCAGAGCTGAGATGTGTAGCAAGATCCACCCTCTTCCATGCTTCCCGAGTACGCCAAACTCATCTATCTATGAGAATCAATCAATCAGATCATTACAATAAAAAAGAAAACAAAAATGGAAAGCTGGCCCTTAGCCAGTAGACATTCTGATGTACTTGGCCTGGGCTGCTACTTGTCCAACAAGGTTGCTCAGAAGTGGTTCCACGTGCGGTACGATAAGGATCCTTTGCACTGTTGGCTCTGGTCTGGGTTTGATCCAGCTTGCTCACAGTGCTTGGCCTGACTGCCCAGGCTTCTGTTTCCGCAGCCTGTGCTCTAGGTTTGGCACCAGAAAGGAAGAGAAGGAAACGGCTGAGCATGAAACCAAGGAGCTGCAGTCAAAGGAGCTTTCATCAAAGGAAGGTGAGTTCTGCTGGTTTTCCCACGTCTCCCACAGACACCGGCAGCTCATGCATGTCTGCTCTTAACTCCAGGGCGTCTTCCCAGGGCCTCAGAATGAGGCCAGGCCAGGCAAGAAAGACCAACCTTTGTGTATTTTCAGTGTTTCTTTCTTCCCTTACCCACGCACTTCAACTCTCCTCATGCTGAAATCTACCTTCCAGTGCCCTGATTCGCACATCCTGGTCTTGACTCTCCTGGAATCCCAGGGCACCAAGGCTGCCATCTGCGTCTCCATTTCTTTACGTCTCTTGGATCTGACCCCTTTCCATCTGTCCCCTCTTCATCGCTTCCTCCTTTCCCTCTTCTGTCTGCTCTGGGTCTTTGGTTATGAATATTATAAACCATCTCTGGCTGCAGTAGAAGTAAAAATAGGAGGAGGGCGGAGGGAATGGAGGGAGGCAGGTCAGAGGGCAGAAGTAGCAGCTGGGCAGGAGAAAGCCGTTTCCAAAGCAGGGCAGTTAATAGAATTACATTGTATTTGAGATTGTTTTTTTTTCTTTCTATATGAGCAGATTTTAGCTGTTCTTGGCACACAAAAAAATGGGCAACAATATGAGATGATGGATATGTTAATTTGCTTTGCCATGGTAACCATTTTACTATCTATATGTACCCGATGACAGCATGTTGTATGCCTTAAATACACACAATGAAATTTATTTGTTAAAAAAGAATAGAGGCTGGGGATGTAGCTCAGTCAGTAGAGCCCTTGCCTTGCATGCAAAGTCTTGGGTTCAAGCCCAGCACTGCATACATCTGGACATCCTGGTAATGGGGATCAGGAGTTCACTGTCAGCCTTAGCTACATGTTGAGCTTAGTGCCAGTCCGGGCTATATAAGACCCTGCCTCAAACAATAAAAAGAGTCAGAGGACTGTGGAAGGCTCACATAGTCAAGAGGAAAGTAAGTTGCCAGGCTACAGAGGTATGAAACCAGGCTGCCCTTGGGCATTCCTGTAGCCTTTAGCCAGCCTACCTTCTCAGGTCAACTGGTTGAGGAACAGAACATTTAATTCATGGTCTCAATGGAACCAGCGGTAGCAGGGGAGTCCCAAGGAAATGAGAGACTCTGGGGCCAAAAGAAAGGCAGGGGACACAGAACAGGCCAGAGCAATAGCTGTTGGTCACTAGTCCGTACTGTGTCCTTGTCTTTCCTCTCACCAACCTGGCTAAGAAAGATCAGGAAGGGACAGCCACTGAGTAGACTATGAGAGACAGATCAAATTTCAGGACGCAGAAGAACAGGAGGAGAGCCGTCTGAGGTGGAAGGACAAGATGACAAAGCAGGGTGGAGGGGCAGAGGGAGTTTAGGTCGCTCATGGAAGACAAACACGGAAGGTGGGTTCAGGCCTGAGAATGTCTTGTGAAGGGCCACTCTGGCCCATCCAGCCTCTCCTCTTTCTCTGTCACTGATGCCCACATCTTTGTTTCTCCATCAGAGAGCTCTGGACCAGGGCAGCAGCAGCAGCAGGAGCAACGGTCTTTTCGAAGCTGTGCACTGTCACGCCGGTTCATCTTGCATGTGATGTGGCTGTCCACCATACAGTTATGGCATTACCTCTTCATTGGCACTCTCAACTCTCTGTTAACCAGCTTGGCTGGTACTGACAGTGTGCAAGGTATGTGGTGGGCTTCGAAGCTGTCTCCCGGTTGGTCTCCGGTAGGGACTCAGAAATGGGTGCTCTAGGAGGGTTTCTGAGGACCTGGGGAGTGGGGGTGGAGAAGAGAAAGGCGGGATGGGAGAGTCTTCTCTTGTACATTACCCTGGAAATTTCTCCCTGCCCAAATCCTCTCCGCAGTCAGCACGTTCACAAATGCCTTCGCCATCACCCAGTTTTTCGGGGTGCTGTGTGCCCCCTGGAATGGCATGCTCATGGACCGTCTTAAACAGAAGTATCAGAAGGAAGCCAAGAAGACAGGTAAGACTGGGAGCCAGGAGTGAGCTCTTCACAGACTCCCACACTCTGCTTATCTTTCTCCCTGAACTTGCTCATCTAGCCAAGTTGCTAGATGAGCAAGTTCAACCCTTGGTCATCCATTTTGTGGCAGGCACAGTACCAGAACCGTGAGGACCTATCAATGGATGAGACAGGTGTATCTTGTCCTCTGAAGCTGTTCCTAATCCAGAGGGTGGGGCAAGGTAATCAGGTAGTTACCATCCACGCATTATGGCAGATGGTCCGTAAACGACAGAGTGTTGTGTCTACGATGAGACAAAGTCACACCCACATAGCCATTCTGTATCTATCTTTATTGTCCATAGTCTACATGAGAGAGTCAGCACTTCATTGTATAGTAGGCTTTCTGTTAGGTGGTTTTGTCGTCCCCCCCACTACCCCATGTGAAATGTTCTGAGCACATTTGAGCTAGTATACACTGAGCCACGACACCCCATAGGATAAGTATATTAAATGCATTTTCAAATTGATGGTATTTTTGGTTTCTGATGTAGCTTCACTGTGAGTCCGGGAGCCTCTGCGAGCACGCAAAGGGATTTGGATACTGAGCAGGGGTATATTTCCTGTTCTGGGTGAAACAAAGTTGCTAGGGAAGACAAAGGGAGTGGCTCCTAAACCAGGATGGAAAACACAAAGACTGGAGGAAAAGCAAGGGGCCTGATGGTGGCTGAGGGGCACCATGGCGTGGCAGCGGTGAAAGAACAGGCATTCAGGAATCTGGATCCTTCCTGCAAGCGATTGAAGCTAATCAGAATGCAGAGTGCACGGGAGTTGCAGGAAAAACCTGGGGAGATCATGAGAAGGATCCTACTCACTGTGCCTTAGAGGGTTAGAATGTGATCCTTAGGTGTGACTGGCAGAACAGAAGGAAGCTGGGCCTTTTACCCCTTGGGAGCTGGAGGATAAGGGATAGAGGAAGAGAACACTGGTTTGCTGTTCGCTTTGCCTGCTCCCCCTCCCTGCTCTCTACACTCTAGCCCTGCAGCAGTCTTTTGAAATCAAGCTTAGACAATATACCGTATTTACTTGCAAATACTTCATAGACTCTCCTTAACAGAGCCCCTCTTAAATAAATATCACCATGAAAATCCCCATTGATTTCTTAATATTTTTTTAATACGCATCTGCTTTTCAAATCTCCTGATGGTCCTTGGTATATTATTTCATGACTGGCTTGTTCAGTGTTTCCTTACAAAGTCCACATGAAGTTGAAAGGACAAAGTTCAATTGATGTGTCTTTGGCATCTTTATTTTTAAACATTTATTTGTTTAAGACAGGGCCTCCTTGCCGGGCGATGGTGGCGCAAGCCTTTAATCCCAGCACTCGGGAGGCAGAAGCAGGCGGATCTCTGTGAGTTCAAGACCAGCCTGGTCTAGTGCCAGGACAGGCTCCAAAGCCACAGAGAAACCCTGTCTCGAAAAACCAAAAAAGACAGGACCTCCTCTAGCCTAGGCTAGCCTCCAAGTTACTATGTAACCAAGGCTGGCTTTGAACCCACTCTGTATTCGAGGCCTTGGACTCCTGGTCCTTTTGCTGTCACTTCCCAAGTGCGGGGCTGACAGGCTCCACCCCCCCCCCCCCCCCCAAGCCCAGCTAATGGACCTTTCTTCCTCTTCTTTCTCTGGTACCAGGAACAAAACTCTGAGTCTCACGCATGCGCAGCTAATGTTTTACCGCTGAGTTCTATCCCTCACCCTGATACTCTTCCTTTACGATTTATGTTAGTTATTTGTTGAAGAGAGTGGAATATTTTTCCTGTCAGATTTCCCACATTTGGTCTTGGCATCCTTTGGGTGTTTCGTGAATGGGTTCCTTTGATTGGACATTTCCTGTAAATAGGCAGATTCGAAGCTTGGAGGAGACTCAATTTTTCTTTTCTGGCAAGAATTCGTGGGAATGGAGTTGTGGCCTTTCTCTGGTTCTTTTGCAGGCCCCTGCTAGCCCGCTGTCTTTGCTGTTACGGCGCTGACATAGGTCAGCTGCTTCAGAATTTGACAGTCTGATCTATCTGTTATGGAGCTTCCCATCAGCCCAAGCAACTAATGATTTCACAACCACTGTGATCAATTTGAGACCCATGATCTGATTAGAGTGCTACTTCCGTCTTCAGCTTTTAGCAGATACGATTCCTCCAAAAGACACGATTTCTCGGACTGTTCTTCACGCCGAAGGAGACGCCCGCCTTCCTCCTGTTTAATCAGGATGTTTAAAACTTATTTTTTTTGAAAACTTTATTTTTGAGAATTTCATATGTATATACCATGAGATAGAATCATACACGATTTTTTTTCTTTTTGAGGGAGGATTGCTTTGTTCAGTTTTTTTTTTTTTTAACCACACAATGTATCTGATGCGTGCTATGCTCCCATTCTTCTCTGCCTTCTTCAGTGCTGGAGACGGGGCTCAGGGCTTCTCCTGTGCTATGCTGTGCTGTGCTGGGCAAGCGCTGTCCCTCAGAACCACAATCCTGGCCCTCACTAGTCTTTTATAGACTCCCCCTCAAGTGCTGGGATTGGGGTGTGTACTACCATGTCTAGCTTAAAAATTTTTAATTCTGTTTATATATTTATTTGTGTGTGGGTGTGGGGTGTATGCCGGAGTGTATCTGTGAAGTTCAGAGGACAATTTGTGGGGTTCAACTCTTTCATTCCACCGTGTGGTTCTGAGCTATAGAATGAAGAGCGCCAGGCTTGGTGACAGGCACTTTTACCTGCTAAGCCATTTTACAGACCCTCATCAGGCCTGTAAAATTTTACAGTGTCTTTGTGGGACCTTCAGACAGGACTTACTAACTTTAGACAGTGTCCTTGCCTTCTAGGGAGAGGATCAGGTCTGTTGATTTGGACCTGTCTCCTTCACCAGGCTTGAAACCGCTCATCTGTCCAAATACTCTTAGGTCTCTATAAGAAACAGCTTTTAGAGACCTCAGCTTGGGTGCTTGCTCACTCCGTGTACTCATTTTTCTTAAAATTAATTTTTACAGTTAGCACGCAGTGTTGTAGGCTTCCTTGTGGCATTTCATACATTTGGTATACACTATTCCTATTCATCCCTACTGCCCCCTCGACCCCGCCTCCTCCTCTGATGGCCCTGCCTTCTTCTGCTGACCCCGCCTCCTCCTGCTGGCCCCGCCTCCTCTTCCTGCCCCCCCCCCCCTTTCTGCGTTTTTGTCATCCTCTCATAGGAAATATTTCTGCACGCTCACAGTCTCCTCTTTTTTTTTTCTTTTAAACTTCAGTGACACATACTCATCTAGGCACATGCACACACACTCAGGTGTGTGAATGCTCCATTCTTTTCACCTGCATCAGTCTCTAGCTAGCGCCCCTTCCTCATATGCTGACCCATCCCACTCCACAATTTCTTCACTGCCAACCCACGTCCCTTTTCCCCAAGCTCACTCACGCCAGTGTGAGGAAGGCAGCTTGCACCCCCCCACATGCACATGCATACATGTACACAGTGCACATATACACATGTACACACACATGCACACACATGTGTACACACACACGTGTACATGCACATGTACATACACGCACACACACGTGCACTCACACACGAGCATGCACACACACACACACGAGTCCAACTAGACACGGAGCTATGTTCATTGGTCTCATTTTTTTGTTGTTGTTGTTGTTGCTATTTCTGATATCTTGGGATTGCTTTGCTTGCTTTCTTCCTGTTTGAACTTTATTGAAAACACTTCCTAAGTTAAGCATTTACATTTCCTCAAAACTAAAACTGGGAAACAAGATGTTGAGTTCCCTCTCTGCTTCTTGTTTTCCTTTATTTTCCCCTTTCTGTGAACGTTTTTACTGCTTTTCTTTAAAACACAATAAGCACCTACGTAGACATATTTCTGTATGCCTCCTTCCTTGGATAAAAGGCAGAGCGCCATTCACACAGCTGTGCAGCTGTCTTCTCTACGCCTCTCTGTTCTGAGACCCGCCTCGCCCTGTAGCTGCCGCCCAGCTCTCCGTTATGTGGCTGGCTTGGACTTGGTACCATGCCCTCCATTGGTGACAGGTCAGATTGTTTCCGGTCCTTTGCTATCACCGGGTCACCAGTTGTGCTGTAAATGACAATGATAACAATAATAGCCATCATCATCGTCTCTGATTCCGGGTTGCAAGGAGCAAGAGTGGTCTGCAACCTGTTCAGAGGCCACGGCTTCTGTGAGTGAGTTAGGGAGCCCCAGGAAACTGGGAGGAGCCGGCACATTTGATTGACATATAGGCAGAGAGTCAGCAACACTGAGGAGCTGGTGTTGAGATGAGACCTGGTTCTGTTTGGACAGTTCTGATTTTTTTCCTGCTCACACCCTCTCTTCCCTTCTGAACCAGGCTCCTCCCCCTCGGCAGCTGCTCTCTGCTCCACGGTGCCTTCACTGGCCTTGACGTCTCTGCTGTGCCTGGGCTTTATCCTGTGTGCTTCCATTCCTGTCATCCAGCTGCAGTACGCCACCTTCATTCTGCAAGTCATCAGCCGCTCCTTCCTCTATGGGTGCAACGCTGCCTTCCTCACGCTGGCGTAAGTGATGTTGGGGCAAGGGAGTGGGGTGGGCCTGGGGGTGACCAGGTCCAAGGGCATGTGAGGAAGGGGTGCTGGCTAGAGACTGATAGGTGGGAAGGACGGAGTGTTCACACACCAGAGGCTTTGTGTCCAGTGAGAGTCTTTGTCTTACTCAGCCCTCACTACCGGCTTCTATCCTAACTCTCCCAGAGAAGAGTTACAAAGGTATTTTCCCTTCTTCATGCCCTTGGCATTCTGTTCTTGTTTCCTTCAATAGCACTGCATCCGTCTTTCCCAGGCACAGGCTGGGTCCGGGACCCTTCTGTTTTCCCTGGGCCCATTGCCCTGGTCTTATGGTTAGAAAGCCTGAGCAGAGTGGGAGAAGGGAAGGCTCATGTGGGTGAGTGAACAGCAGGCCCAGGATAGGAGAGCTGGATGCTCAGCATTCTTAAATAAATTCTGCTGGGAGCCAGAGGACTGTAAACCTCACAAAACCTCTGTCTGTCTTCCCCTAGTTTCCCTTCAGAGCACTTTGGAAAGCTGTTTGGACTGGTGATGGCTCTGTCCGCTATTGTGTCTTTGCTGCAGTTTCCCCTCTTCAAACTCTCCCCCCAGAACATCGCCGTTTATGTGAGTACCATCCGGGCCTGTTTCTGGCCAGTGTGTATGTGGGCCCTTGACTAGAAAGGATACCCAGGCTGGACCTACTGCACAGGGCCCCAGCAGGGGGCACCCTAAACTGATTCAAGAGACCTGGGTGTGATAGAGGCTTCCATGGTGCAGAGCCCGGAATGTCCAGGGTTTCACTTTTCAAACTAGGGTGATGGGCAGAAACCTGACTCAAGCTGGGGTTTCCTAAAATCAAAGGGTTAACCCTTCGCTGAGAACCTGCTTTTTTCATAGGTCTGGAGAAAAACAGTCATTTGTGAGTGTATGCATAAGAATATGTTACTCCAGAATAGGATGTAAATACTCTCAGAATTTCAAGCAAAAGGGTCTCCCACTTCCAGTCAGTGTAGACCAACCTTGGCTTCTCTATGGAGACTATGGCATAGACTACATTTTTCGGAGGCCAGGAGCTTCATGCTTTCATCCCTGGGCCCCATACCCAGGGAATGTTAATAGGCTAGCCCTAGAAGGTCCTGGCTCTTTAACTCTGGGGGAAAATTGAGGATAAAAGAGATTAAATGACTTAGCAACTCAGATACTCAAGAGCCACACACAGCTAAGATAGAAGTCTCTGCCCTTGAGAGTCAGAGTTCTGGCCACCGATGACTCTACTTGCCTCATCAAAAAGAGATCAGAAGGGCAGGAAAGATGGCTTTGGCTTAGTCGTCAGGGTGCTTGCTGCCAAGTTTGGCAACTTCAGTTTGATCCTTAGGACTCATGGTGGAAGGAGAAACCCAACTGGTACAAGTTGTCCTCTAACCCCCAAATGTGCTCCACTGCACTGGACTCTCTCACACACACAAATAAATAAATATGATTTTATTTTTCGAGACAGGGTTTCTCTGTAGCTTTTTGGAGCCTGTCCTGGAACTAACTCTTGTAGACCAGACTGGCCTCGAACTCACAGAGACCCACCTGCCTCTGCTTCCCAAGTGCTGGGATTAAAGGTGTGCATCACCACTGCCCAGCCTTAAATATGATTCTTTTAAGATTAAAGTGTAATGCAAGTTTTTAAATCTATCACTAGGAGTAATGAGACTACCTTAAAAACTAAGGAAAATTTCCTCAATTGTGACATCAGGAGACCTAACTCAACATTTAGCTGTCTCCCCAGCTCCTCAGTGACCAGTGCAGGCCACTGAGTATTCTCTAGGCCGCTGTTTGCTCTCCCGTGAAATGCGCTTCGTAGGGGCTGGCGTGTGTCTTATTGGTACAGTGCTTCTGCACCAAGCACAAGGCCCCGTGTTCAGTCCTCAGCACTAAGTATGTCCTGTGTGGTGCTACATGCCTGTAATTCCACCATCTGGGAGATTCAGTGTCAGCCTGAGCCATGTGAGATCTATCTCAAGAAAGAAAAACTTATGAAAATAAACCACAAGTCCTTCAGGTCAGCTTGGTGTGTGTGTGTGTGTGTGTGTGTGTGTGTGTGTGTGTGTGTGTCGGGGAGAGAAATATGGCCCAAGTAGGACTTTGTTCCTTCTGCTGGTGATAGGTGCAGCTCATGGTTACTGGACTGGCCCCTTCTCTCTGTTTCCCCAGGTATCAATGGGGCTTGCCATTTTTCTGACGTTGGCCCATCCCTTCCTGGTGTACCGTGAGTGTCGTGCTGAGAAAACAAAACCTTCTGTGACTCCCTAGCTGAGAGGCCCTCACGCTGCAGCCTTGATGGTGTTTTTCTTGAGCCTTCCACACCCTTGAAGATCCAATGTCCACAAAGACTTTGCCTACCCCGGAGAACTGTATTAAGAGCCATAGTTTGTTTGTTTGTTTTTTTAAACAAACAAACCAGGCATTTAAGTGCTATTCAGTACTTTTGATCACCAAGAAGAAAATTTCAGTGGCCAAGTGGCTTGCATTCACACCGACCTAAAGCAAAACCTCATGCGAATTCTCTTTGGTTTGGGAGTAGGAAGTTACTCCTTGCGTAGGGCCTCAGTGGAGGTTGGGGAGATGTCACAGAAACCCATATGCAGAACACCTGCTACCCTCTGGATTTCCAGGATAAATGTGAGGTCATTATGGCCTCTGTAGTTCACCTGACATTTAGGTACCACACAGAGAGCAACTCTGGCTCCCTCAGACACACATTTTTTAAGAGAACAGTCCATGAGCTTTGGGGAAAGAGGAGCACACAGAGGTCCCTCTTCCACCGCTATGGATGACTTTGGGCTGGCCCCTGCAGGTCAGAGCATCTCTCTCTCTCTTTTTTCTATGTGTAAAGGCTAGAGCTCAGAGTCAAAGACCATTTTTGGAACTGATATCCTGGAAGGTTTTCTAAATCAGTGACAGGGAGTCACTTAGCTCTGAAGAGCACTGGCTGCTTCTCCAGAGGACCTGGGTTTGATTGCCAGCACTCATGGTGGCTCACAAACTATAACTCCAGTCTCTTCATGGGCATTGCACACTCATGCACAGACACGCATGGTTTGCATACAAAACACCCGTGCACATTAAATAAATAAATTTTCTAGGGGACAGTTTTATACAATAATAAACTCTATATTTAAGGCAACTATTGCTTTCACCTCTTTGTGCTTGTGGGGAGGTGCCATCCTTGGGGAGTGGGTGCAGGGTAGAGTGGAGGGGTCTTGCTGTCCACTGTAGGATGGCAGCCTGACACAGAACTAGGGCACGGGGGTGGGGCAAACTCCTGGGTCTGGGGAGTGAGCTCCCAGAGTCCCTTCCCCCTCTGCATACCCTTCAACCTCAGTAGATACCAGCTCATAGTGCTAGGTGCCCGAGTTCAGACTGTCTCAGGATAATTGCAGTCAGTCGCCAGCACCTGGGAAAGCCCCTCAGGCGCCGAGTCACTTGCAGAGGGCGGCCACTCATTTCTGTCTCTGAGAGTGCGGTGAGAAGGAAGGTAGAAGCCCGTGACTGCCACTTCTCTTTTTACTCAGGACCAGATTAAAGAAAGGCAAGTAGAGAGATGGAGGTGGGAGAGATGGGAAGGTCCAGAGCATGGGGTTACCATGGCTGTGATGAAACACCATGACCAGCAAGTTGCTGAGAGAAGTATTTATTTGGCTCACACTTCCCCATCATAGTCCATCACCAAAGGAAGTCAGGGCAGGAACTCAAATGCGGGAGACAGGAGCTGATGCAGAGGTCATGGGTGTGGGGTGCTGCTTATTGGCACATTCCTCATGGCTTTCTTATAGACCCTCGGACCACCAGCCCAGAGATGGCACCACCCACAGTGGGCTGGGCCCTCTTCCGTCAATCACTAATTAAGAAATGCTCTACAGCTTGATCATCTGGAGGCATTTCAGATTCCTTCCCTTTAGATGACCAGTCCGTGTCAAGCTGACGTGAAACTAGCCAGTACTTGGAGTGCATGGCCAGTGGATGAATGGATTTTCCCCTTGGGACTTTGTAGAGAGGCCTCCCTCCCTCTCAGTCTCTTCCTGGAAGGAACTGGCTGCAGTTTCACAGGTGGAAGCCAGCAGCACAGGGTTCCCACGGTTTGGGTTGACCAGATGAACTTCCAGTGCAATCCTAGGTTGCAGCCAGCAATCTCAGCAAAGAGGGGTGTAGTGATATTTCATTTGTATCTTAATAAATAAAACTTGCCTGAAGATTAGAGAGTAAAACAGCCCCACTGATTAGCCTTACGGACCAGGCAGTGGTAACATACACCTTTAATCCCAATAGCCAGACTAGTTTGCCCTAGAAACCGGGCAGTGCATGCCTTTAATCCCAGTCCTAGAGAGGAATATAAAACGGGAGAAGACAGTTCACAGTCTCATTCTGAGATTCCGGGAGGCAGGATCTTCGTTTCAGACTGAGGTCGAGGTAAGAGCCAGTGGCTGGCTGCTTTCCTTTTCGGATCTTCAGGTTGAATCCCAATTTTTGTCTCTGAGTTTTTATTAATTGTGCTTCAGAGGGGAAACTGCCTTCACTGTGTTCCATAGTGCCATGGTGGGCTGTTGTCGATTACAATAAAGTAGTCCCACACTAGGCCAGAATGGAGTATGATAAAGGTCTCTTTATTTAGGGACAGACACAGATCAGCAGTCCTCTGCATGAGCAGGGAACAGGAACCGAATCCAGCTGGTAAGGGGCTGCGCACGTTCACATACAGAGGGGAAATCCTACGTGGCTGGACCTCCACTGGGGACAGTACCATCATGTGAAGTTTAGTTAACAATTCCTTAGGGACGTGTGTGATGTTCTTAAAGCCTGTTTTGGTCAGAGAAGTAGATGCAATTAGTCCCATTTTATCATTTTGCAAATCGAGAGGATTATAATTTTGTAAATTGGTGTCATCAAAGTTACCAAAATATGATATAAAAGCTGTTTATGATGCCATCGTGTTATGCCCAGATCACAGAGTCCCCCCAAAACTCATGAGGAGACCGAGTCCTGTATGTAAAAGCAAAGAGTCTTTATTCTTACACAAGTATGCAAACTTGGTCTCTCTGTGTGTCCATTGTATTGGAGTGGTCGGAGAGCCCCAAGCTCAGTTAGGGATGGGTTTTTATTGCAGCAAAGATAGGGGTGAGGGATTTCTAAGGTTCAGGACCCCTGATTGGCTGACATTTGTCTAGGGATGTCCTGGTGAAAAGAGATGGGTGTGTGCTGGCAGGTGATCCTATCTATAATGGTTGGAACATTAGGAATTTCCTTTGGATGGTCTGTTCCTGGGAGGTGGCTGGGTGGTCTCAGTTTGTGGTCTTTCTTGGAACCAGGGTAAACTGTGGAGACTGGGCCTCTATTGAGCTTATCAAGGCTGCGTCCTACAATCACAGGTTTACGATTCCCCTTGTATTCATCCATCCCATCATTGGCTATCACTTTCCTACACACATGCTTGGGATGTTTCTTCTAGTACTTTCTTTCTGCTACCAGCACAGGGTCCCAGACAACCCGGAGCCATGGAGCAGACCGAGAAAGCAGACTGGAGAGTGTGAGTAAGTACAGAACCCAGCAAGCAGCCAGATGTTACCAGGGCTCATTGCAAAACTCTCACAGAGGGAGTTTCCAGAGAGTGAGGTGTAGAGACAAAAAGTTCCCCAAAAACAGGACCAAAAATAAAGAGGAGACTTCCTAGCCGTCAGACCCCAGTGACCTGTGATGACTTATTCAGACCATCAGAGCCTGACTCCTGAGGACCCCAGGTGACTGATCTCTGGGTAGGATATGTGGTATTATGAGATTAAAATGTAACAAGATAGTGAGCTGCCCTCTTGAATTCTGTTCAGACTCAGTCCCACACAAGTGGGAAGCAAGGCCAGGAAACTTTCTTTTATTTTCTTTCTTTCTTTCTTTCTTTCTTTCTTTCTTTCTTTCTTTCTTTCTTTCCTTCTTTCTTTCTTTCTTTCTTTCAGATTTATTTATTATGTGTACAGCATTCCTTTCATGTGTGCCCACATGCCAGAAGGGGGCGCCAGGTCTCTTTACAGATGGCTGTGACCCACAATGTGGTTGCTGGGAATTGAACTCAGGACCGCTGGAAGAGAAGTCAGTGCTCTTAACCACTGAGTCATCTCTCCAGCCCTCTTTCTTTCTTTCTTTCTTTCTTTCTTTCTTTCTTTCTTTCTTTCTTTCTTTCTTTCTTTCTTTTTTCAAGACAAGAGTTTCTTTGTGTGGCCTGGCTCTGTAAACCAGGCTGAAGAACTCACTCTGTAGACCAGGCTGCCCTTGAGCTCACAGAGATCCACCTGCCTCTGCCTCCCAAGTGCTGGGATTAAAGATGTGCACCCCCACTGCCTGGAAGGTAACTTCTATAAAAGAGCCCCTTTCCCTCTGAGTCTCTAGTATCTCTCTCTCTGTCTCAGAGTTTGTCCCTGTGTGTCCGTTCACTGCTCAAACTTTTGTGGATGTTGAGATAGCTCAGTGGTAAAGGCATTTGATGCCAACCCTGACGACTGGGGTTTGATTCTTGGGGGACCCACATGGTGGGAGGGGAGAAAGGATTCTTGTGAGTTGCCTATGACCGCCATACATTTATGCATCACACCTACATGATAAATAAATAAATAATAATTTAAGTTTTTGTATCACTTCTGGTCCGGTGAGTGCTCTCACCATGATGCCTGAGGCTCATGGGTCCTGCCATGACCCAGTGTGCGTCCGTTAATCCTCACTGATCATCTGAAGCTGATTGATTCACCTGAAGGTGCTGTATGCTAATGCCCCAGTGCTGGCAGCATCCTCCCTGAGAATGAGCACTTGGAGCAAGGATTCCTGTGGCTTCGATTCGAAGCCTCCCTCTCCACAACCTCTCCGGAGACAGGATAAGAACTCCTGCCTCTAACACTGTTCTGTTATGACATTTCTGTCTTCATCAAAGACGGGCCCCTGTTCTTTGTGAGTGATAAGGAGCTCCCAGATAGGGCATCCTTGCTCCTGGACACACAAGCAGCCTGTGTGACTTTCATCACCGGGCTGACTCACCAGCTGGCCTTAAAGTCCAGGATCATGGCTACCTCATACCAGATCCTCTCCCAGGGTTTTGAGTTTTCTTTTTCTTAACCGCAAATATTTGCTTGAGTCTCCCTCAACAGTTTGTTTCCTGGGTCCAATTTGTGTAGGAAAGACTCTGGGTATTGTAGGCGCCAGCAGCAATCCAAAGCAAAATAAAACAAAAAGAATTCTTATTCACACTGCACTTCACTCTGCCCAACTATAGGGGAGATAAAAATTCCAGTAAGTTTTGCCACAAGCACGAGAATGAGCTGGGTATGGGAAAGCAATGCCTTTAAATCCTGGCACTTGGGACTTAAACTCACTCTGTGAGTCTGAGCTCTTTATTATACAGAGAAGCCCTGTTCCAAAAAGAAAAGCAATAACAACAACAAAAGAATGAGAGAGAAATTTTGGGAATAAGGGACTGCTTTGTCTCGGGCCCTGGAATTGGAATCTCCAGGTTCCAGGGCTGCGGTGCACAGTGTCTCCACTGTGGAGTGACAAGATGGATTTGTACTGGAGCTGGGGAGCTGTGGCGTCCTGGCCTCCTGCGGTTGCGCACTTCCACAACCTTTCTCCAAGGAGGGAAATCCACTCGAAGGCCCAGATAGAGCAAACAATCAGGAAGATTGGCTTTTAGCAGGTGACAAAGCAAAAGCAAGACACAAGGCGCAGCAGCCAGGGCTGCCTCTAGCGTCTGCCCCCGGGAAGTCTCAGTCTGTTGCTGCTCCTCTCCTTGCCCACCCTCAGGAAGGTCTAGGGGTGATCCCCTCACTAGAACAGGCAGCTTTCTTAGACACTTACCCACAATTCCGTCTGTTTCAACTAGACGCCTTAGAATATGTATAAAGGTGTAACTACTGTAAAGTTAATTTTACACCAGGTGGTGGTGGGGCACGCCTTTAATCCCAGCACTTGGGAGGCAGAGGCGGGTGGATCTCTGTGAGTTCGAAGCCAGCTTGGTCGACATGAGCTAGTTCTAGGACAGGCTCCTAATCTACAGGGGAACCCTGCCTCGAAAAACCCCCCAAAAAGAAAAAAAGTTAATTTTACTAGGTGAAAGGGCACTGGTGCTCTGTACTTCCCAGAGAAGGATTTGGT